CGCCCCACCCCCACCCCCGCCACTGCTCATACCTGCCCGCCTTGGTGACAATCATCTCTGTGCCCAGCTGGTTGAATTCCTCCCATGGAGCCTTCATCTCCAGCTGAACCGTCACACCAGACACACGTGGGTTCTTGGGGCCCTGCTCTGTGGGCTCAGCCATGGCTTGGGCCCCTGTGGAGCTGGTGGAAGGGCCTGATGGTAACAGGGAGTCCAGCTGGGGCTCCCAGCTGGAGCTCGTCATGGGCAAAGGGTAGGTCTCCGATGGGGCAGATACCCCGAGTCCGGCAGAGAGGAAGGCTGGAGAGGGAGGACAGAGTGTGGGCTCCTGTTCACCTCACCCACCCCAACTCCACCCAGCCAGACTTCATCTTTCAGGCTGCACCTAGATGCCTCTTCTTCCAGGAAGCTCTCCCTGACTGCCAGGCCTGTTTTCCCACAGGATCCCCAACTCGGCATCACTTCATGAGGTAAATGCTCACTTAAAGCTCCTGGAGACCAGAGACAGGACCTGTCAGGCTCCCCAGGGAATCTTTGAGCCATCAAGAGGCTGAGTGGCCTTGAGCAAATTGTTTCACCTCCCGGAGCCTCCGTTTCCACATCTGTCACAAACGGTTCTTAATATCTGCCTTATAGGGCTGGTGTGAGGATTTGTGAGGACACACACGAGCCTGGCACACAGTAGGCCCTTCATAAAGGACATCTGTTATGGATGACGCGACACGTGGGGTCGTGGGGGTGGGGGGTCTTTCTCAACTCTGGGGAGACCTGGCTGCCTCGTGCTGCTTAAGGAATACTGAGCTGAAGGAGATCCCCGAATTACCACGAACAACTCTTACCCATCTCTGACCCCCAAAACTGGCCCAAATCCTGCCTCCAGAAGCTGGTTCTAACATCTTTCTGCTCTGGCCTCCTCACTTTTTTCTAAGGAGCCCACCTTTTGATCTGCAGTCCTGGCACAAGTCTCGGCCAAAAGCTTTGCCACAGCTCCACCCTTCTGATTAAAAAAAAAAACCTATTGATACAATGAGATACTACTTTACAGCCACAGGGATGGCTAATACCAAAATCCAAAACAATAACAAAAACAAGAAATGAGACATTACAAGTGTTGGCAGGGTTGTGGAGAAATTGGAACTCTTGTGCGTGGCTGGTAGAATCTCAAATGGTGTAAACCCTGTGGAAAACAGTTGACAGTCCTTCCAAATACTAAAGATAGAATTACCATATGATCTGGCAGTTTCACTCCTAGGTATAAACCCCAAAGAATCCAGAGCAGGGACCCGAACAGATATGTGTACATCGGTGTTCATAGCAGCATTGTTCACAATAGCTAAAATGTGGAAGAAACCCTGGTGTCCATCGATGGATGAATGGATAAGCAGAATGTGTCTATACAGACAATGGAATATTATTCAGCCTTTAAAAGGAAGGAAATTGTGCCACAGGCTACAACGTGGATGAGCCTTGAGGATGTTATGCTAAGTGAAACAAGTCAGTCACAAAAATACTGTGTGATTCCACTCATGAGAGGTGCCTAAAGGAGTCAAATTCATAGACAGAAAGTAGGAAGGTGGTTGCTAGGGACAGGGGGAGGGGAAGGGGAGTTAATGTTTAATGGGGACAGAGTTTCAGTTTTGCAAGATGCAAAAAGTTCTGGAGATGGATGGTGGTGTTGGTTGCACAACAGTATGAATGTACTTAATGCCACTGAACACTTAAAGATGGTTAAAATGATAATTTTTATGTTTTGTATATTTTAACACAATTACAATTTTAAAACTAGGAAAAATATCCTGAAAAACAAACTGTTAGTTTCTAGCAGCCCCATAAGGGGCTGAGGACCTGGCAAAACCATGAGATCCTCTAGGCAGAGGTAGAATTTTGTTGTTGAATGGATGGATGCATAGACGGATAAACAGATGGGTAGACGGAGGTTCCTGGGATGGTATAGCGTGTGATGTGCTGGCCAGAGTCAGTGCACAGTAGGTGCCTGGTGAGAGTGTGGGGCTCCGGGCCCATGGCCCCATCCTTAGCAGCCCTGAGAGCCACGTGTGAGAAGTGGCACCTCACTAAAGCCCCTGGGAGTTCTGTAGTCTGGAGGTGGGTGGGTCTCACTGGGGCATGAGGGGCATGAAGGGTGGATGGGCTAATGTCCCCCACCATCTAGACCAGGCCATTACATGGGCACCTGCCCATCACCCAGCTGTCCTGCTGGAGCACGTACATCATCCAGGTAACCGATGCCAGCCCCCAGGGTCCATGGTGATGCGTCCCAAGTCGGGGAGGCTCATGGCTTTGCTGGTCCTGGGGGCTTCACAGGCTGGTTACTGGCTTCCAAGTGTTCTACAAGCCTACACCCTGCCCATCCCAGTCAATGTGCCACCCCTGAGCACCCTCAATAACTCTGGGCAGGGGCCTGTCCTCTGCCCAGCTCCTCTAAAAGCCAGCACCTCTTGGAGTCAGGAGTTGACAGTTTCCCACCGGCATGAAGTCAGGTTTGGAGGGGAAGTTAGAGGTTCCTTGTCCAGCCCCCCCGAACCTTGATCCTCACGGGGTGAGGCCCAGAGAGGGGTGGAGCCAGGACCACGCTCACCAACGTCTGATAAGGCTTTCATCTCCCAGAAATGGCTGTGTCTCCCTACCTGTCAGCACCCCTATATTTGCACTTGGGTGGCTGTGAGCCCATTGACCCTGCCCTGGGGGATCTGAGGCCTCAGCCTGGGGTGCCCCTGCCCCATGCTCTTGCCCAGGCCCTGGGTCCAGTGGCGTTTCCTTGGTCCCCACGCCCAGTCCATGCCCCCCACCCCACTCACCCCAGAGCCTGAGCCCACCCATGGGGCTCTCTTGGCCGCCTGCCCCTTACCTGCCATGGGGACAGCCCGGACTTCCGGCTCCTGGAGAAGGGCGGCTTAGCTGGGGTCCCTGCGTGTCCCGCCTCTGGTCAGTGTCTCCTGGTCTCCTGGTCCATTCAGCAGCACGGCTCAGCTCTCGGGCCCTCACTCAGTCCCCAGTCTCCTGGCAGGACTGGCCTTCCCTCCTCGATCGCCCAGGTCTTGGTTCTCCACCCAAGCCAGGCACCTGGTCTCTGCAGGCAGGACCCTGGCTCTGGGGTGTGCAGAGCCCCTTCTCCAAGCCACCTTTGCACTGGACTGTGCAAGGGGACCCCGGCTGGGCTGGTGCAGCTCCAGGCGCGATGCCGTGGGGGAGGAGGGCAGGTGGGAAGGCTCTGACGTGGCAAAGCCTCCTCTCCCTCTCCCGGTCCACCCTCCCGGCTTCCTCCCTTCCCCAGCTAGGAGCTCCCCAATCATTCCTGATCAATGGGCCCAGACACAGGGTAGGGGCCCATCTCGAGGACAGGCTGGGTGATCTGCAGGGGCCCACGCCTGGTTGACTGGAGGGGCCGGGGCTGACAGGGCCTCGGGGAGGTCAGGGGGCTGCGGTGGTGGCAGGAGCATGGAGGGCTGAATGGCAGCGGCAAAGCTCTCTCCCCAGGACCCAGACACCTGACCTGGGGCTGCTGGTGTGGAATCACCAGGGAGCTTGAGCAGGAAAGGCAAGGGGGCAGCAGCCGCGAGTACCAGCAGAGGCAGAGCCCCAGGTCTGGATGGCAGGAAGCCAGGTCCTCCTGACCGCTCGGCCCGATGAGCTATGCAACGCTGGCAGGACCATGACATCTCCGTGCCTCAGTTTCCCCAACTGAATTAAGTGCATAATCGCTTCTGCCTGGGATGGGCTGGCCCAGCCTGGGGGGCAGTAAGCTGTCCCCATCCTGGTTGACGGTGCCTACACAGTCCCCACAGCGGGGGGCCGCTGGCCCAGGTCAGAGGCCTCTGGGGCATGTCCTGACCAGACACCTTCCCCAGGCGGCCCCTGCCTGTCTGGGGCTGGGCATTCAGGGAACACACAGATCTCCAGTCAGGAAGGCAGAGGAGGGAGGTTCCCCGAAGCTGGTGTCCGCCATGTGGTGCAAGGAGGGTCATCGGGCTAGACCCCGGTTAGCCCACTACAGGAGGGAGCATCGCAGGCTAGCCCCCAGGCCGGAGCACTAGGTGAGAGCACACTGAGCTGGGCATGCTCGACTGGGGTCCCCAAAGGCGGCTGGACCCCCGCACCTCCTCCAGAGTCTGGCACTGGGAACAAGGGATTGGCAGAGGACATACCTAACGGGGGGCAGAGAGGGGCTGCCCCTCTTGAGCGTGACACCCTGGCCCCTCCCAGAGCCACGTGTCGCATGTGGGGGGCAGACCTCTCCTCCCTTCAGCTCAGGGAGGCCTGCTGCTTCCACCCACTGTGCCCCCGGCCCCTGCCCGCCAGGCTGGGAGGAATCCCTCGGGGAGAGCGTGGACCGAGCCCTGGCATAGACCCACGGCCAGCTCTGGGAGGAAGGCTGCACCTGCACTGGGGTCTGCTGCTGGGCAAGATGGGGCAGAGCTCTCTGCGCCTGTGATGGAGGCTCCCAGCAGCTCCCAGGTGCCACCCTGTCCCAAGATGCACAGTGGGGCAGGTGAGAAATAAGCAGGTGATGGAGGGGTTTGGGGGATCTGCACCAGTCCTAGTGGCTCCCCCTCAGCCTGGACTCCCGGGGGTCTGGGGTTCTGCTGGCTCCTGATGTGTGTGTGTGCTTGCACATGCCTTTGGTCCGTGTGATGGGACACCCCCCCATACACACACATGCTCATGCGTACGTGGGCACACTCACATGTCAGCCCAAATGCATAAACGAACTCAAGACCTGATGACCTGCCACCACTCCTGTGCAAATGTGCACAAGCTCCTCTTACACACACACACACAAACACATACACACCAGGCACACAGGCAAGCTTCCCTTTACAGCCTCCTCCCCGGCCAGTCTGCCCTTCTTGCCAGGGGCACTTGCTGGCCCCCCACCTCCTCATCCATCTTGCCTGCCAGTCTGTCCCTGGTGCCCCCATATCCTTCCCACCTTCTCACCTCGCTGCTCAATAGCAGAAGTCAGCATGGCAGCTGTGCCCGCGGGCAGATGGCTGAGCCAGGCGGCGGGGGTGTAGAGGGGCCAGAGAGTGATGCCTGGAGAGGACGGGGCTCTGGGCTCCACCAGCCCCACTGTCAGGCAGGAGCGATGCTCTCAACATGGGGGCGGGGTGGGGTGCGGGCCCAGGGGGTGGAGCGTGGAAAGTGTGAGGCTGTGTCCAGGCGTCATCCCACCCCATCCAGTTCAGCCCTGCTGTGGACACCCTGCAGATAGTGCCTGGGGCAGGGCTGAGGGGACCCCAGCCGCAGACCCTGTGCCCGCTCCCTCCCCGACGCTGACTTCTGTCCTGGGTGGTGCAGGAGACCTCCACCTGCCCTACCTGCCCTACCTGCACCTCCTCCCTGCATCCCTGTGCCTGGACGGCTGTCCTGGGTGGGGAGAGCCTTGTCGACCTGCACCCCTTCCCCAGCCTTGACGCCCCCTGAGCCCCCATGAGCCCTGAGCTCATTACACACCTGGAAATGCACATCTGGGCTGTGCCACCAGCCACATATGGATCCCCCTGGAAGAATGCCCAAGGTACTGAGGCTCTCAGAAACACATGTGTGTGCAGACACACACACACACACACACACAACCACGGGGCACCTGGGGCAGGCACATGCCTGGACACCCACACACATGGGCACACAGAGATCGACTTTCTGGCCCTGGGAATGCAGAGGGGTTGGAGCCCTCCTCTGGGTCATGGCCTCCTCTGGAAGCCCCTCTGCTGGCCCCAGGACAGTCTTTCTTCTCCAAGTCCCCCCAACACACACACACACTATGGGATCTTCCCCCTGGGCACTGATGAAAAAGCCTGGGCACAGAGACAGCCACCCCCGGCCCCAATACACACAGAATGTCCAAGACCACCCTAAGCCATACCTGCCCCAGATCCTGAGGTCACAGAGAGGGGCCATGCAGGTGAGAGGTCATGAACCATGGACCCCTGGACATCTTCCATTTTATAGAATGGGAAACTGAGGCAGGGAGGTGTGGGGATATGGCAAGAAACATGGTACACAGTGGGTGGCAAAGGGAGGGCCCTGGGCTCGAGATTGTGCCTCATGACCCACTGTTCAGAAGGGAGGGCTGATGCCAGGCAGGTGTGGCCTGGATCAGGGACCCTGGCAGGGTGGAGGCCAGTGCGGGCAGGGCAGGCACGGGAACGTGAGCTTCTCAGTCTGGAGGAAGGCAATGCCCTCCTCGTAGTAGGCAAGCTCGTTGATGAACACAGCGTCCATGGTGGACTCCCCCTCATAGCGCACGTCCTCACTGCTGAACATCTGGAAGATGGGTGCGCCAGGCCGCAGTGGCTCGAACTCTCAGTCCTGGGAGAAGAGCCAAGGACCAAGGTTGCTGGGGCTGACCTCTGCCCTGGCCTCAGTGCGGGCCACCCCAGCAGGGACTGCCTAAGAGATGCTGCTCACTTATGGCCCTGCCCACTTGCTCCTTCACTTCCTCGATCAATGCAACAGGGTGTCTGCTGAGATGCCAACTGGCTCTGTGTCTAGAAATGGAGACACCAGTCGCCTTAGAAAGGCACTTGTCATTGTGGAAGTGTACCCTAGTGGTTACGGGCACAGATAGTGAGGCCTGCGTTCAAAGCCTTGCTAGCTGTGTGACCTTGAGCAAGTCACTTAACCTCTCTGTTCCTCAGCTTCCCCATCTGTAAAATAGGGATTATTCTATCTCCTCCTATTATCCTGAAGTCTAAATTAAACAGCTAATAGTGCTTAAAACAGTGCCTGACACATAGTGAATATAATATAAAAATTTATTAAATAAATTTTTAAATTGTTGGAGAAATCACTCAAAATGACTATTAGGGCTTCCCTGGTGGCGCAGTGGTTGGGAGTCTGCCTGCCGATGCAGGGGACACGGGTGCGTGCCCCGGTCCGGGAGGATCCCGCGTGCCACGGAGCGGCTGGGCCCGTGGGCCGTGGCCGCTGGGCCTGCGCGTCCGGAGCCTGTGCTCCGCAGCGGGAGGGGCCCCAGCGGTGAGAGGCCCACGTACTGCAAAAAAA